AGTAAAAATACAAGCTCTGCCCTTTCACTATTCCTCTGGACACCCATTGCCACCATGGCTGGTCTTCATGAAAAGAGATGGAAAAAGTGAAAAAGACGGACAGGACCCCACACCTGTGGAATTATTTCCCCTTTCCAAAAGGAAACAATAGGTTGCATCCCACAAAGGGATGATGGAGCAAAATGTCAGCAGCATTTGAATGCCACATTACTGGGGAGGTATCCATTCTGCAGACTCTTTGTGGCTGTGTGGTTCCACAGAAGCACCGTTATGGGCCATACCTAGATGGGGTGTCCAGTCTATAATGATTGACAAGCTGAGGTTCACCTTTTGGAGGCATCCATCTGCCAGTGCATTAGCCACAGCAGCACTGCATTTGTGAAGGGCTTCAGAGACTTATTCACATTGCAAACATATGAAGAGAAAGTGCTGTGCTTACTGCACTTTAGCAAAGATCACGCTCAGGATGACAGCCTCTAGTCTTTCAAGAGGTATCTAACAGTTATATGCTATTTTGTATTTTATTCTTTCGTTGTTAGTGCCTGGATGACTGGGTGCCAGGTGACTTGCCACAGTGACAGACGGCATCTTCAGAATCAATGCAAACCACTCTGTTTACTGGCAAAAAAGGGAAGCCAAGAGCAGCACTATCTAAAAGAAAAGAAGTAGAAAAAAAGACCAAAGAAGGGACAAAACTGTCCCGAGATAAAGATGCTTATCATTCTTGACTTAAGGGGATAAAAAGAGAAAACACTAATGGATTTTCATCTTAAAATCCCACCTAACAGAGCCAGCCTGCTAACAGAGTGCAGAAACATGATCATGAGTTAGATGCAGAAGCGCATTATGCCTCGTGTAGCTGCCTCCTCGTTCCAGTTGTTTGCTCACGTTCCCTTTCCAACAACACTGCCGTTCCCTTCTCTCTTCTGCTGATCCTTCTTACAGCTTGCTGGGCCTTCCTCCCCATTGCTACTCCTGGGCTCCTCTTTCTCTTCCAGGTGACTCTGCCCCCTTGCCGGGTGTCCCAGGATGAGACCACTCCATTTGGTTTGCCACAGCTTCTCCTTCTCTGGGATCCAGGAGGACCACTGTGAGATGGGTTTATAAAAAGTGGCTGCTTTCTTCTTTCCACTGCAATCTCCATATCTTTGCTTAGCAACCCCTTTGCTTCTCAGCTACTGAGACAAGAATGCCCTTTGCACTTCCTTTCATCGCCTGTCCTGCAGGCTGATGCCAGTTGCTGCTCTTTTGGCTCTCGCTGCTCCTTCCATGGCCTTCTCCTGTGAAACTCCAGCTGATTGTTTTGCTTCTCCTTCTAGCTACCCCCGCCAGCAGCTGTTCAGTTCAAAGGGCCCTTCCCTGTTCTTTCCGTAAGCCCTGCCATTCATTCTGCTGTTTTCAGTGGCCCCTTCTAGGAAGAGCCTGCCCTGGGACCACTGGAGGTACCGTCCGCCCTTTGTAACTGCATGACACTTCCAGCGGTCGATGGAGATGCACATACCAAGCAGCCACACATCTGTCATGAGCCTGGGAAAGGCTCTGAAAGGTACAAGGGGAGTTTTTAGGGGCAGACAGAAATAGGTCATAGATCCTTGCAGGGATCGAAAATACTGAGAACAAGAAAATGAGAGAGAAAGAGCGACGCAAGAGTCAGCGTGTGTATATGTCCACAGTACAGCATAGGGGAATGGACTCTCAAGAGGTTTTTAGGGGACCCAGGAAGGCGCTGCTCAAGCCTAGGCTTAAAACTGCTCCTGAGAAGAAACCATGTATTGGAGCAAGTTGTAGCATGGAAAGAAAAATTACTTCATATACTATGGAAGAAAAATAAGTAGCAACAGGGGCTTAAATAAGAAAAATATACTACTCCCAGCTGCAAGATACTTTAGAGGAATCCTGTTGGTAGTGTATCTGATGACATTTAGCACTCAGAAAAATTGGAGACTAAAGGCACGGATCACAGCCAGGCACAGTGTGGGCAGACACTGTGTAAACTTCCCCACACAGTTCTGCCAACACATCTCACTCCTAACATGCAACGCCCATAACATCCCCATCCTGGCCACCTCCTTAGAGAGACTAAGGGCCCCATTTTCAAAAACAGAGTCTAGTTTTGTGCCCACAAAGTTCCTACCTAGAAAACTTGACTCACAAGAAAGCCTTACGCAAAGTCCGTGCATGGTGCAGCTGTGCTCTGAAAAGCACCTGTCAGTTTGGTATGGTGGAGACCCTATAGCCATTCTCCTGCAGGCATTTTTATCTGTTTTCATTGGGGGGTGTTAACTGCTAGCCTTGTAAATGAGTCCAAGGATCTGCAGGCCACGCTTTGTTGCTTCCAGACCGTGCACTGAAGAAAACTTGCAAAGACCTTAGTCACTAGCATAAAACCCCCTCTGCCATCCAAATGTAATCAGTCTATCCATGAGGCACCAACTAGACTAGAATTTAGAGAAATCTGCCATAGGCTTCTCAGCTTTGACGTGCTAACAGGACAATTTACTCAGCCATAAAGTATTAATACTTCCTCTACTTTAGAGTATATGGTAAAGTTTAATGAATGAGTATTTGTAAAGCTCTTGAAGATGCTTAGCACTATACGCTGGTATATGCAGAAGACTGTGCTAAAGGTAGGTAGGAGAACACTAGCTGTGAAGTGAGGATGATCATCCTTCTTCAACAGACCAGCACAAAGACTCCTCACCACCCGTAGGAGCTGTACAGATTTGGAGCTAGTTCCCTGCACAGCCCAATTTCCCCCTTACTGAGGGTCTTTCCTCCTCAAGCTTAATGTGTAGTACATAGCTGTGCCACTGTTCATAGTCTTGAGAAGGGACTGTGGCTCAGTCCAAACACTCTTCATGCTCCTGCTTTCTCTCCTGCTCTCCCCAAAACATCTGGGCAAGCTGTGTAGGTGGCATGGTCTTTGGACTTCCTTATGCCGTGAGGGTGGTGACCCTGTCGAGCTGGACCACAATCTGGCCCCGAATAAACACAAGTTTGCCAAGTAACCTGGATGTTGGTATTTCAGACTCCTCACCATAATAATGTATGAAACCCAACAGTTTCCTTCAAGCCTTTTCAACATAAGAATGGAAACATTAAGCTGTAAAGTGACCAGCTGTATGACATTCATGGCACAAAGGAGGTAAGTATTTAATAGACAGATATTCATATTTCATTACAGCACCTACAAACAACATTAATTAGCATTAATCTGTCACTATCTGCTTCTGCCAGTTAACTCCTTTGACCTTCCCTCGTCTGCACCTTGTTACTGTACAATGTCTCATGTTTGTAAGGATAGGAGACTTCAGCTGTTCAGAGCTGACAGAACATAATTTACATTTGGCCTTCATTAAAATGACAGTGAACATCATTGAGACCAAATGTAAAACCCAGATTGGTGGAAGTTATAAAAAATTCAAGTGGCAAGCATTTTTCCTTTTATCTGACAGTTATTATTAAAAAGCCATATGTCATCCTACAACACAGAAAATGTAAGTGTAAGAGACAGCAGAAGAGTTCTGCATTATGAATAGAGTTCCTTCCTTCTCCAGACGGACTACTTCCTACAGATGGGACCAAGCAACGTTGGTCCTTTTTCGGAAGACTCTAATTAACCAAGCATTTTCTCTCCCAGGGACCAAAGCTATCTTGAACGATTCCAGTCCTGGATGCAGTGCCTTAGAAGCAATACTTCTGGCTAAGATTGTATGCAACTTCAGATGCCTCCCAGAAATAACACCTACACCCACAGGTGGACCTAGGATTTTGAAATGCCAGGTGCAGATGGTGTGGTATAGCCTCACTTACAACAAAACACACTTTTCTCTAGGTAAAAAGAAACTAGAATCTTTACTAGTATATTAGGGGCATAGGGCTATATTATTCAGTTTAAGATCAAGGGAAAAACAAATCTAATTTTATTGGAATGTGCATTCATTTGCTATATCATACATTATGTATGAAAAACACAACAAAGTAGGCAGAAATAATCAAAACATGTTGTTTCTTTAGTCCTGTAGTCATTAGATTTAATTGTACATCTTTTTCAGATTCAGAAATCAAACTCAAGCCTTCTTTAGCATCTATACAGTGTATCTCATGCTTCCCTAAAAGTTATTTCCATGCCGGAGTAAACATTCACCTCAGTTAATGTTTCCAAACTTGAGTTTATGTTTTTGGTTAGAGTTAAAAATAGTCTGCAGGGCTGTGACATAGGAGGTACATTACCAGGAGAAGCAAATAGATAGCAGAATTGCAGATCAAAGGACAGCTTGATTAGTGGAATATTAAGAACATTAAAAAAGGAGAGAATGTCATTAACACCTGTGGGATGAAGAATTTAGCAGGAATTGGTAGATTATAATAAACCATGAAGTTGACTCTGTCACTGCTGGCTGAATAGAAATGCTGCTGCCCCTGCCAGGCAATTGGTTTTAAACTTTAGATTGACCAGGAATCAAAGGGGGGGGGGGGGGACTGAGCCCCTAAACACCCCGACCCCACCCCGATCCACCCCTGTCTATACTCCCTCTTGCACCTAGAGGGAGCATGTGCAACAATGGTATTTGTAGTAGGCCAGATGCCCAGGTATTTAAAGCTGTGTCTGTTTTTAAGGCTTATTCATCTGTAACCCAACTACACATGCTCATCCTTGTTTTTCTAACATGGAAGTCCAAAATATCTATCCTCTTACTGCAGGAGAGATACATGAAATGCCCTGACCTAAAAAACATTTAACCACCTTAGAGAGACAGACATTTATAAGCAGGCAATGGAAAAAATGGAATCTCTTCAGATGGACATTTTCCAAGATGCTCAAGGTCAGCCTCACTTAGCTGCCACTAAGCATGGGGGTGAAACTCCCACTGACTCCAGCAGGAGCAATTTTCAACCTAAGCCGAGCCTTCTTTTAGACATCTCATTCTGCAAGTTTTAAAACTTGCAAAGACCTTAGCTATCAGCTAAAAGTCTGGCACAATTTCAGGTATACTCACTTCTTTTATCCACAGCAATTTAGGTGGCTGCATTTCTACAGACATCGTTCCCCCAACATAGCTCAAAGCGCTGTGCTGCGTTCCATTGATCCTGGCTACTTGACTGGCGGCACGATGGTCCATCCACAGAATGATGTTTCTAGTATGCTCCCCTTACCAAAAGAAATTTAAAAAAAAGAGATAGCTGCTTTAGTCTTCGTTGAGTTCTTCATCAATACTAGAAGTTATTTGTTGGTAATCCATTTGGCAACTCCACTTAAGAATACAGAATTTAAATACAGCTCATTTTAATTACAGGGAACCAATATTTAGGGTAAGATTATGGTTCCGCTGAAGCCAGTTTTCAAAAATGCCAAGCTGTCACTACCAAAGCCAGCAAGAGCTGCAGGGGCTCAAGACCTTTGAAAATTTAGGCTATAAACAATAGCGTCTTTCATCCAAAGCAATGCTTAACAAGCAAGTGTCTTATATGTATTGAAATTTAAAAATGTACAAACTCCTACTCAAGACAGTGTCAACCTCATAATAAATTCAAGGTGCATTAAAGCAGTGAATTCAAATGAACCCAGCCAGCCAGCTAGACAACTAGAGGGACTCATTTCTGCCCTTTCACTATTGTGGGAAGCAACCCCTTTAGCCTTTTTCAAAAAAACCAGGTATAGTGATAATTTGCTGAAATGTACTCATTGTTGAGGTGGAAGGCCACAGCCCTTGGCAAGACTCCATAACACTTTAGAACAAATGAAGAATATCATATCTCAATTCAACTACCCAGGGAACGTTCGAGAGGTAAAAAGCAATAATCCAACCAACACTCCCAACTCTTGTCTCCTGCTGATAGCACTATATTCCTCATGTGTATGACAGAGCTACTGATATATACTTAATCCCCAAAGTGCATCTGAAGAAGAGCAACAACTGCGAAATATATTCATATTGCTGACAAATTCACACAAGTGGTGCAGCTGTGAGACTGATTAAAACATGCACTAGAACAACACCTGCATACATCATTAGAGACTGTAGTGCAGTATCAACTTTATTTGATGATAACGTTTTGTAAATATTAAAAAAAATATATCTTTCCTTCTTTTCTGGAGAACTCAAAGAAATAAAAAATGGGAACCAAATTTGATTTATGAGGGGCCAAAACATTTAAGATACAGTTTAAAATAACAGATATGGTCAAAGACCATACATATAAAAAATATATAAAAAATGTAACAGGCAAAGATCTGAGGATAATGAAATTATTTTGATAACAGTAGGAGGAGGTGACACGTCTTAATGTAAAAAAGGACTCTTCAAATTGTGACCATGACTATAATTACTGAATGATGCACAAACCAAATATTAATAACTGTGCAAACTGCCTTCATTACCCAGATTCACTTTTGAGGTTTCTTCTGAACCATTTAGTCAAAAATTGATGTAAATCAAATTCTTTAAACCATTATGCTGCCCTCTGCAGTAGCACTAGTTCCCTAATTTAATAGACACTTTAGCTAACAACATAATATTAGCTAGAAATAATATCTCAGTCTCACAAGTACAGTAATATGAACAATCTCACTCTAGTCTACTATCACAGAGGCCGGCAGCCATTAAAACTAGTGGTTTGCAACCTTTTTAGACTCAAAGCACACCTTGGAAAATGCCAGCTTTTAACTTTCATTCATTTTTTGTCTAGATAACTAATAGAACGCTTTTTCTGGTGCAAAGAACTGAGAAAGATGACTACAGGTCAGAATGCTTTCACAATATGGGTTCCTATTTGACATCTCTGGCTTTATCTTCTGAATCGTGAGTAAGTATTTGCACATATAACATAACTAATATTGTGCAGCTCCCTGTGGCAGCCTTAAAACAATAGCACGGCATCCCAGGATGCCACAGAGTCCTGGTTGAGAATCACTGAGTTAAACTGTAGTAGTTCCACACTGTTCAGCTCTCTTTGGAAGCAAGCATGGAAAAAGAGCCCTTTAGAAAGAAACACCCCCCCACCCCAAACAGCACTTGTTCAGTCTAAAAGAGGGAAAAAAACCCCATTTAAAACAAAGGCATCTCAGGAAAAAAGCAATATGATGTCAGAGTTAAGCTGAATGAATATTACTAGGGTACCCAGTATCATTCTAAACTTAAGTGGTTCTGATCTCAGTTTTTCCTGGCATTAGACCTAATGATCAAAATGTAATAAAAATTGCTGTTCTTAAGCGACTTCTATAATTCCACATCTGCAGAATTCAGCCCTTATATATGGCAGCATGGGTCAAATCCCAGCCTCTGTGAAGTCACCAGCAAACAACTATCTAACCTTAGGTTTTGTCACAAGGGTCTTACCTTCATAATTGACTGCCAAGGGCTGAAACTGCTTATCCACAGCAACAAGTGAGCAAGTGGCATCAAAACCAAGCCCTCGAATCCTCTCAGCATCTACGCCACAGACAACTTTCTGTGAAGACACAAGACACCTCTGAATACACAAATGCCCACAGACACACATATAACAAGTATACCATGGTTTCAGAAAAGAGAGGTTATAAACTGAAGACCCAATGTCAAAGACTTGGGAAATTCAATACCCTAAAAATGCTGGTGCTATATATTCCAAGAGTTATGCAAACAATGGAAACCTCTTGGGTCAGTAAAATGGGACTCAGACTCATAAAAGGGGTTCTGATGGCCTCTTGGTCCTGCTGCTTCTAGTGCAGAGGGACACAATAGGGAAAGTAAGTTATGCTAACTCTAGCCTTTTCTGAGGGCCATGTCTCAATTAGGCTGTGCTAACTGCACATTCAATGCAAACGTCCACTTAGCATGTGTTTTCTGCATGAACACATGCACTCATAGCGTAGCAAAGTAAGGACTTTTCAAGGGAGATAATACAAGTTCCAGATTCTGGTGCAGTGCCGAGGTTGGGACTGACAATCAGCTGACTGCTGCTTCCAGCCCCAGCATTACCCCAGAGTCTTGAACTGGCTTTAGTGTGATGCTCAGGCTGAACCGACAATTAGCTGATCATTGATCCCCTCCCCAACACTGACCAGAGCTGGTTCGTGACTGCCAGTGGCAGAGACACAGATGGCCCCACAGATCCAGCAATAGGGGAGGATCCAGTAGCAGGAGTGGCACCCTCTTCTGGGCTCAGCTCCACATGCCTCCCTCCACCCACTGCCATCAGCAGAGACCTGGCTTGCCCTGGCATGCCAAGGACAGGTGCTTGCAGGCTTGGCAGTGCTGGGCACACAGCCAGGAAAGCACAGGCATGTGGCGCAGGGGTTGTCATAGGTGGATGTGCAAGCTGTGCAAGTCCTCATAGGTGGATGTGCAAGCTGCAGCACATAGTGCCAGAGTCAGAGCGGGGCAAGGGTGCAGAAGGACCAGCCTGCGCCAGCTGAGAATTGCTGAGAAGAAAATATGTGCACTGACTAAACAACAAATGAATCTGCAAGGCTCCTACAAGGTAATCATAAAAATCATAGAAAGTTAGGGTTGGGAGGGACCTCAGGAGGT